TTAGAGAAGAAAATTTTTCGGTCGCTACCCGGATTCGAACCCGGGACCTTTGAATGAGAGGCCACCACCTTAACCTCTTGGCCACGAGATGCCCCCTGTTTCCAGTCTTTCTGATCAGTCAGGCCGTTCTCGTTGTGTTGCTTGTCGCAAAGTAATTCAGGCCATCTGTGTATGTTGCTCTCTGTCTCACACAGCTCCTCCTTCCCTCTATCAAATAACAAGTAATAATAATAATAATAAATAGCATTTGTATAGCGCATATCCCCGCCCAACAGCAGGCTCTATGCGCTTTACACTATAGTATTACCCCCAGCAGACCATAGAACACTCCGAAACATTCTCAGCTTCCCGGGATGCATACAGTGCAAGCAGCTGATTGAGCGCTCAAACACTACTAAACTGACAAGATCTTTCGCTGTCTATAGCCTGGTACCCATTCCCACCTGGGTGACGTGAGAAAAATTGGTGTAAAGTGTCTTTCCCAAGGACACAACGTCGGGCCCTGACGGGACAAGTGAAGGAGTAAGAAAAAACGGGTAGGTGGGGAGAAGGGGGGGGGGGTGATTACATTAAAATATAATGTGCTAATATTAATGACAGGTTCTGTCGGAACCTGCAATGCATGGGATAATCATGGAGGGGGGGGGGGTGATCCAAAAAGTAAATCTGAGTAAATTATATATAAAAATAAGGTTAGGTGAGATGAGCGTGATGTGATGGGTAAATGCCAGACAACCCACATGTGAGAGGCTCCGTGACAAAACACAGTATATCCGTATATTACAAAACTGAGGAAAATGGGTAACACAACTTATTCTCTGAAAAGAAAGATTTAAAAGGAATGCAATTATATTATATTATTATTCTACACACAAGACAAACCCTGTTGAGTAAAATATAATGTAGAAAAATGCAATACTTTGGTCACTTAAACAACACCAGACCATTGTGAAAGAGGTGGTTGAAGGAAAGATGTGGGGCAGGAGAGCCAGAGGAAGACAAAGAATAACATGGATGGACAACATAAGAACATGGACTGGCCTGGATATGGCAGAATGTGCAACAGCAGCTCGCGACAGTGAAGGATGTAGGGTCATTACACGTCAACCTTTGAGTCAGAGATGACAGCTCCAGGTACCCAGGTATCCAGGTATCCAGGTGTCCAGGTATCCAGGTATCCAGGTATCCAGGTATCCAGGTAGGTAATTTTATCATTCTAAGTATCAAGCGATATAGTGAATTTCAGAAGAAAACCTATTCTGAAGACAATTCTTATCATAAGATTATAAAGTGGGCAGGTTTTTTTCAACAGATAAGTTAAAATTTGTCGTTTATTGCGTTTTGCGACGGGATCTTTCATAATACAAATGTGAGGCTTCGTGGTGAAATCAGGCGCTCGTCAAAATAATGAAATCGAAGAAACAGGTATTTTCCCTCCAGTTGGTCAGTTTTTACGGAAATTTGTTTTTGGCTTAATACCTTTTTTGTCCATATATAAACACATTTAAATGTGAATTTTACTGAAAAACGTTTAGTGGTACCAAAATATATGTAAATATTCAGTTTCCAGGGAATCTCACACTATAGAAGTTACCATACTTTGGCTGCCATTTTCTCGCTAAGTTTACTCCTGAAACCATGCTACCCCACCTCTTTCAACGGCAAATATTTCGACTTCTATTGAAGATAAATTGGTGGGGGGGGGGGGGTTAATTAAAAAGCAAGGCAAATGAATGAGCTTTCAGATGATACCAATAACTCTACATGCCCCAAAATTGTCGAGCGCCTGATTCCACCACGTCGTCACACATTATTATATAGTACATTTCAGAAGACAACCCATTTTGGAGACAATCCTTATCATACGATTATGAAGTGGACACTTTTTTTTCAACAGATGTTAAAGTGTGTCATTTATTGCTTTTTGCGATGGAATCTTTCGCTTTCATAATACAAATATTATGTATAATGCTAATCCGTAGTTGTGGAGAGAGAGATCAATAGATGGTCAGATAGATAGATGGTCAGATAGATAGATGGTCAGATAGATAGCTGGTCAGAGAGATAGATGGTTAGAGAGATAGATGGTCAGATAGATAGATGGTCAGAGAGATAGATGGTCAGAGAGATAGACGGTCAGAGAGATAGATGGTCAGAGAGATAGATGGTCAAAGAGATAGACGGTCAGAGAGATATATGGTCAGAGAGATAGACGGTCAGATGGCCGTTCTGTGGCCCATTGTCCAGCTTCAGATGGGGAGAAGAACGGGAATGACGCACGGACTCCAGGCTCATTAGCAAATTACTGGGGTTATAACTAGAGTT